TGCTAGTCAAGCATTTTACCACTGTGCTAGACCACTAGCCTTTTTTGTGTTTTTGTTTTGTTATGTTTAGTTTTTGGTACTGGGATTTGAACTCAGGGCCTCACACTTGCTAGGCAGGCCCTCTACCACTTGAGCCTCTCCACCTTTTTTTTTTTTTGCAGATTGAGTATTTTTGAGATAGGGCTTCACTTCTTTTTTCACAGCTGACCTCGAACACAATCCTCCTATCTCTGCCTCCTGAGTAGCTAGCTAGGATTACAGGCGTGAGTCAGCAGCACCCAGTTTTTGTGTTATTTATAACCATATAAATTCAACTCTTTTTTTTTTTTTTTGATGGGGCTGGAGTTGGAACTCAGGGTTTCCTGCTTGCAAAGCAGACACTACCCTTGAGCCATACCTCCTCATCCCATTTTGCTCTGGTTATTTTTTGGAGATGGGGTCTTAGGAACTGTTTGCCCCAGCTGGCCTATAACCACAATCCTCTGGATTTCAGTCTCCGAAATAGCTAAGATTACAGGCATGAGACCCTATACCTGGCCTAAATTCAACTTTATATGCCTATCTTCTGACCTCCTTGGTATATTATAAGCTTCTTAAGGGTCAGGATTGCCTGTTAAATGTTTTCTCCCCTTATCTAGCACTGTTACCTTTTTATAGCTTCTTAGTAAATAATAGTTGAATTCTCACAAAGCCATAGGGAGAGAAAATATCCGTACTCTTTCTCCCTCAGACATTTTATAAGGGTTAAACAAATTGAAAGTGACACTGGCCAATCTCAAGAGTTTGTAACAATGGTGATACCTCAGTGATTGAAACAAACAGTAACAAAAAAGCTCAGCAGTTTTTTGTTTGCTTATTTTGATCAAGTAAGTTAAAGTGACCTTGTAATGGTCAGGAACAAGTTTAATAGGTAGACTTACTACTCTGAATGTAATGGGTAAGTAGTATTAGGAGTTTCTTTTTTCTTTTTTTCTCTTTTCTTCCTTTTTCTGTGGTGCTAGAAATTGGATTCAGCCTCATGCATGCTAAGCAAGCACTCTACCACTGACTTTTTGTTTTGTTTTTTTGTTTTGGTGGAACTGGGGTTTGAACTCAGGTCATTATGCTTGCAAAGCAGGTACTTTACCACTTGAGCCATACCTCCAGTCCACCACTGATTTCTTGAAATGACTTTATCAAAACTCCAATGTAGTCCTTGTATCAAAGGAGAAATCCTAAGCAGCTGAGAAAACTAAATGAATTTTCTTAAACTAACCATGATTTTTTTAAAAATATGTAATTAGTCAAACTACTAGATAATTGAAGGGAAAGGACTTCCCACTTCACTCCTTAGTTCATTAGAGCAAATCAGATATAATTATGATTGTGTCAAAAGTTCAAAAGGGAAAATGGAAGGTAAAAGAACTGAATTGGTACTTTTCCCTCAACATTGTACCTGTAAGCCTGATATGTTGTTTCAGAGATTAACTTTATAGACTTCCGTACCCAGAAGTATGAAAATTCTTTGGGACCTCTTTTCACAAACTTGATCTTAACATATTGAATAAAGAGAGCAGTTAATCCCTTTTGTAAAGTAATTTGAGAGGAGGGAATTCAAAATGTAAAATCTCACCTGCAGAAAATACTCAACTCTAAAGACCTTTCTATCTTTAGACACTTACAAAGACTTAATATTTTAATGCGGAAGGGTGAACTTGGTTAAAAAGCCAATGGGTGAAATTAGAGAAAAATAATCCAGTGCTTTCTTTCTGAGAATTATCATTCCGCTCTCCAGGGGACCTCATTTTATTCCTTGTGAGGAATGAGAATACCCCTCTGTATAGCAAGCCAGCATCTCTAAATACAAGCTTGACTTTTAGTATAATAAGAGTCTTGTTAGGTGCAATTTTGCTCTTAGTCATTAATACAATGAACAAATGTTGTGGTTACCTGGGAAGGAAAATTCAAGTGCTTTTAAACCTCTTGTGAGATTTGGTTTCATGCTTGAAACCTATACAGTTATGCCCAACAGCATCTGTGGAAGATTTCAAGCTACACAACACAGAGAGAAGTTAATACACTTTGGAAAAAATTGACACCACTATGAAATGGATTTAAGGTCCTGAGCAAAAAGCTTTTCTGCTGCTGAATGACAACTCTTTGCTAGTGGTATTCAGTTTAACAAGTAAGTGAATTTTAGAAGATGATGGGGGCATGGTCTACAAAGTAGGAAGTCAGTCTTTCCTTTAGGTAAAACTAAAACAGTTTATAGTTCTACAAATGCAAAGACTGAATTAAGTATAAAATATATCTAAAGGAATATATAGTATTAAGTGGTAGTTTTAGTAGGGCATGGCATGCATTAAATCATTTCTGTCTCCTATAAACTTTGTGATACATACTTTTTTCCTTTTTTCTTTTCCTGAGACAGGGTCTTACTATGTCACCCAGGTTGACCTTAAACTCAAGATTCTCCTACCTTAACCTCCCAGGTGCTAGAATTGGTTGTAGGGCATATACCACCATTCCTGTCTGTGATATGCACATTAAAAGTCAATTATTTGCTGGGTGCTATGGCTCAAGGCTGTAATCCTAACTACTCAGGAGACGAAGATAAGGGGATCATAGCTTGAGGCCAAACCCAGGCAAAAAGTTCATGGGACCCCATCTCAACCAATAAAAAGCTGGGCCTAGTGGTGTGTGCCTATTGTCCCAGCTACTCAGGAAACATAAATAGGAAGATCATGGTCCAAGCCACCCTAAGTATAAAAAGCAAGACCCTATTCATGAAACAACTGAAGCAAAAGTGCTGGTTGGTATGGTTTGAGTGGTAGAACACCTACTTAGCAAGTGCAAGATTCTGAGTTCAAACTCTAGTACTCTCCCTGACCCCCTCCCCCGCCAGAAAAAATCTACTCTTGATGACAAAATACAGTATCACACCACTTCTGCTAATAGTCCTTGATGGGCTTGGGGGCATAACTCAAGTGGTAGGGTGCTTTCCTGGCAATGTATAAGGGGCTGGGTTTGAAACCCAGTACTATTAAAAAAAATTCCTTCATCATAAACCATTTTTTATTGAATTTGGTAGCACTTCTTTCTTTTTTTTTCTTCTGTGCTAGAATCGAACCCAGGGTTTCCTACATACTAGCAAACACCAAACACTGTACCACTGAGCTACATCCCCCAGCCTGATATATTTTTTTCCCACAAAGAGAAAGATAATAAAAATCTTTCTTGTTACATTGAACCTTATGGTTGGTTGGTCCCCCCACTCTGCCCCAAGTGCTGGAGACTGGACCCAGGGCCTTGCACATGTTAGGCAAGCAGAGTACTAGACATCATATTTTCAGTTCTTAAACATGTTCTCACCAGGCACCAGTTGCCTACGTCTGTTATCCTAACTACTTAGTAGGCAGAGATCAGGAGGATTGCAGTTCAAAGCTACTCCAGGCAAGTAGTTGGTGAATCTCTATCTCAAAAATGCCCAATACAAAAAGGGCTGGTAGAGTGGCTCAAGTAGTAGAGTGCCTGCCTAGCAAGTGCAAGGCCCTGAGTTCAAACCCCATTACTACCAAAAAACCAAAAAACAGAAAAACATGTTCTCTACCTGTAAAGCTCTTTATCTAGGAGGCTGGCCTACTGAACAGAACTATAATTTTAGCCTAATGCAAACTAAGAACATATTCTACAGAAGAACTATACTTCCAGCCTTTATTGCCTTCTTATGTTTTTTTCAAGATTATTTTGATTTAATTTCCTATTAGTGGTAAGAGTACAGAAATTGCAACACTATCCCTGCCCTTTTTAGCATTTTTTGAAAGTCTATTAAGAATAATGTTTGGCTGGTCATGGTCACTGGTGGGGAATAAATAGGCTGTAGAATGAAACTCAGAGAAATAGATAGTAGATGGTAGTTACCAGAGGCTGGGAAGTGGGCTACTAGTCATCAGGTAGAGTTAGATGAGAGGAATAAGTCCAGGAGGAATAAGCAGGGAGTTATAGTTAATAATTAAAATAACTAACAGAAGATTTTAAGTGATCTCATGATAAAAAATGATAAATATGTGAAGCAATGGATAAAGTAATTTTTCTGATTCAGTCATGTCACTATATGTACATACATGTATTGAAATACCACTTTGAGCTGAGTGTGGTGCACATACCTGTAATCCCAGCAGTCTGGAGGCTAACTCAGGAGGATCATGAGTTTGAGGATAGCCTGTGTTACATATAGAGACTGTATCTCAAGAAAAATTATAGGTAAAAGAAGAAAAATTGTGTGGGGTGCTGGTGGCTCATGCCTGTAATCCTAGCTACTCAGGAGGCAGAGATCAGAAGGATTGCATTTTGAAGCCAGCCTGGGCAAATAGTTCTGCGAGACCCCATCTCAAAAAACCCTTCACAAAAATAGGGCTGGTGGTGTGGCTTAAGGTGAAGGCCCTGAGTTCAAGCCCTAGTACTGCAAAAAAAAAAAAAAATTATAGTCCTACCATATTAGGACTGTCAACTGAGGTATTAGTTAAACTTGGTAGCAGCCAGAGATAGCCTTTCTTATCTCTGCTCAATTGATATTTTTACCAAAATAATAGGGAAAAAATGACCTATCCTTATTATGGAAATAACCTCAGGCAAAATGATATTCAAAAGCATACATGTAAAGGTGTAGTTGTTTGCTTGCTTGCTCACTTGTTTGCTTGTGTGTTTGTGACAGGATCTTGCTATGTAGCCCAGGCTGGCCTCAAACTTGGAATCCTCCTGTCTCTGCCTCCTGCATGCTGGTATTATAGGCATGTAATAACATGCCTGGCTTTAAAGATGCATTTAAAAGTTGTATTCTAGTGTAAATAACTTTTAACAACCTACCTAAGTTTTGTTTTAGGAAAATGTCTTAATAGCCTCATGATTTTCTTGAGGTAGCCATACTTGTCAGTTTGACAAACATAGATTCTGCATACTTCCTTGCCACTTTCTCAAGTCTCTTTAATGCACTTCAACTAAAGAGTGACTTTTGGTTTCAGACAAATCTTCCTATTTTCAAGCTGAAGGAATCTACTGTGAGAAGAAGATACAGTGACTTTGAATGGCTTCGAAGTGAATTGGAAAGAGAGAGCAAGGTAAGAATTATTTGTAACACAACTTGAAAGCAGAACATTCCAAGTTTTAAGGTAACACCTTTCAGGAAGATTAACTTACATAAAGTAATAAAAGTAAATAGGATTTCTTTTTTCAAATGCTCAATTTCATGGGAGATAGTGGAAGAGTCAGAATTTTCCCTTAGAAATCTTCCCTTGTCTACTTTAATGGCCTTTGCTGACTGACATTTGAATAGTACTTCTTCAGTCCTTTTGCTATTACTTCCTTCCTTTCCCTTATCCTCCTCCTCCACCTTTCAACTCCATATCCTTTACCAAGTTTCTTCCTCAACGTATCTCGTGTCAATGTATTTCCGGTTTTATCATCCTACATATATAAACCATACACAAATCATAGCTTTGTAGCAGAACTGTACAAGAAGACAGTCTTACTCTAAAGAATATCAAAATATAAAATACTTATGTGACTAAAACTAGAAATATAAACCCAGCTAAAGAAAACTCTGAAACTTCACAGAAAAACAAAAGAAGAACCTTAATAGCCAGGCCTAGAGGTATACTCCTGTAATCTAATCTACTCCAGAGTCAGAGGCAGGAGGATCACTACTTGAGCTCAGGAGTTTGAGATCAACCTGGGCAACATGGCAAGACCCCATCTCAAACACACACATACACACACGCACACGCACACACACACAGAGACAACCACCAAAAAAAATAGAGAAGTGGAGGGGCGGAAGGGGGCACAGTGGCCTCAGGCCACCTTAGATAGGAGGATTGAAGTCCAAGTCCAGCCTGGGTAAAAAGTTAGCAAGATCCCATCTCAACAAACAAACCAGGTGTTGTGGTACAAGTCTGTAATAGGTCAAAGGATCGTGGTCTAAGGCTTTGCTTCCGGCAAAAATGTGAGACCCTATTGGAAACAAACAAATAAAAAAAACTCTAAGTCAAAAAGAGGTGGGAGCATGGCTTCCATGATAGAGTACCTGCTTAGCAAGCATGAGGGCGAGTTTGAACCCCAGTACCACCAAAAAATTAGTAAATAAAATAAAGACCTGCCAGAAATCATACTTTTCTGGTTTGAAATATTTACTTTTGGAGATTCATTTAGATTGCACACATTTGAGAACCCATTCTGTTTGTATGTTTTGGTACTTACAGATGGAACTCTGAATAAATTAAGGTCCCTTCTTTAATCGCACCTACATGCTATTGAGCAGGTTGGGATGGTAGGGAAGAGAAGGCAGAAAAGGCTGGGAAGATATTTAGTATGTCAGATGATGATAAGCTCTAAAAACCAAAGTTAAACTAAGAGAAATAGAAAGTGCCAGGGGAGTTCCTCTCATACAGGTTGAGCAAAGAAAGGCCTCACTTACAGGTGCCATTTTAGCAGAGACCTGAAGGAAAAAAAGTAGAATCTCCTAACTTACTTATAAATGAATAAAATTCTGATAGAAATCACATTGGCAGTGTGTTGGGGGGTGTCTTTATAAACTGACAAGCATATGAGCTTTAGAATTAAGAAAGCTCAAGAATAGCCAAAAATGTTTTCATCTTATGTTGAGCAGGCATTTGATTTTACCAGACACCGAGACCATATTTTAAGGATGTAATGATTAACACTTCAGAGGCTGGGAATATAACTCAGTGGCAGGGCACTTGTTTAGCCTTCTCAAGGCCCTAGGTTTAATCTCTGGCACCAGAAAAGCAAAACATTAAATGTGATACTACTTTAGAGTTGGCCGTATAAATTAGCAGACTACAATAGAGTTTAACAGCTGACTTGTATTTTTGTAGGGGACTTTAGTTCATAACAAAAATAAGGTTATTGGAGGCTAGGGGTGTAATTCAGTGGCAGAGCATATGTTAAGCATGTACCAGGCCCTAGGTTTAATCCCCAGCATGTAATATTGATAATACCCACCTGTGGGAAAAGGCATTCAGTAAATGGTGTTAATATCTGGCTGTGTTTAGGGAATAAAAATTTACAACTCAGCTTTGTACTAATTGCAGACAGTTAAAAGATCTTGTACAGATTTTGGGGTTTGAACTCAGGGCCTCATGCTTGCTAGGCAGGTGCTCTACCACTTGAGCCATTCCACCAGCTGAAAGATCTAAATGTATGAAACAAGTTAGGATAATTTGGGGTAATGAAGAAATCTTTAATGACCATGGGGAGGAGGAAGTGTCTTGATAGACTTTGGGTTTTGCTTAACATAAAATGTGGCACACTGGAAAGCTTAATAAACATTTTCTGAACATACACTTCACCTTTTTTTTTTGTCAGCAATAGTTTTATTGAGATATATAATTCACCTAAAGTATACAATTTTGTGTTTTTTAAATATATTCAAAGAGTTGTACAATTTTAGAACATTTATTACCCTATACAAGAAACTCTGTCCCCAGTGCCACCAAAAAAAAGATAAAAAAAGAAACCCTATATCCATTAGTAGTTACTACTAGTTTCTTCCAACCCTCCTCATACAGCCCTAAGCAGCCATTAATCTGCTTTCTCAGTGGACTTGCCTATTCTGGACATCTGGATATGTAAATGGAAGCATAGAATATGTGATCTTTGTGTCTGGCTTCTTTCACTTTGCATGTTTTTTAGATTTATCTTATGTAACATGTATCAGTACTTGATTTCTATTTATTGCTAAAAAACCATATTATACAGCTATAACATGTTTTCTTTATCCGTTGATCTTTTTTTGCTTGTTTGCTGTGCCTAGGGATTAAACATAGGGCCTCACACATTAGGCGAGAGCTCTTCCACTCAGATACATCCCCAGTTCTGTCAGTTCATCATTTGATAGACATTTGTGTTTGTTGTTACTAGTTTTGGCTATTATGAAAAATTTATATACATGTTTTTGTCTGGGCCTGTGTTTTCATTTCTCTTGAGTATGTGCCTAGGATTGTGTTGCTGGGTCACATAACTTTTGAGGCAAGGCTTTCCTATGTAGCCCATAGCACCCTTAAGCTCCTGGGCTCAAGTGATTCTCCTGCCTCAGCTTCCTCATGAGCAGCTGGGGCTATAGGCATGTACTACTTCACCTTGTACAGTTAGGACCATTTCACATTCCCACCAGCAGGGTATAAGTGTTCTCCCTCTCTCCACATCCTCTTTATAGTTTATTATTCCTAGTGTTTATGAAGTGGTATCTCATTGTGGTTGTGATTTTCATTTGGATCATCTTTTCATGTACATACTGGCCATGTATATATCTTCTTTGGAGAAATGTTTTCTGAAATCCTTTATCTTTTTATTAAAGAGTGCTGTCTAGGATGTAAAAAAAAGAAAAAGAAAAAATTCCCAATCCTTTATCATGTATCTGATTTGCAAAAAATCTGCCAATCTGTGGGTTATTTTACTTTACATTTAATAGACTAGTTAAATGTTAGAAGTTCAGCCCCTGTGAGTTTTACTCATAAGAGCAATGTAGTCAGATTGTTACATATTTGTACTTTTAATTAAGATCTGTTGTGCTTGGCTAGAAACTAAGTAATGTTTTTGTTTACTTGTCATTACAGTTGATAGCATTTATCCTAATATGTTTTGGCTTTCAATACATTATATTCACTGGGTATCCTGTCTACTTCTCATACATGCACATACATATCCTTGGATTCATGAATTTTTTTTTTTTTTCACAAAAAGCCTATTCCAACTCAGAATGATCAGCCAATTTGACTAGTCATTAGAACATTCAGCATTTCCTATTTTTGGCCATGTCTGTCACACTCAAATTTTGGTAAATCTGTCCTATATTTCCAATATCACAACATGCATGGTCCCAGGCAGCCACTGCAGAAAAGAGATGATCTAACATTACCTGTTCTTAATTTTATCTAACAAGTTTACAAATTTTTCTCTACTTCCAAAGAATCATAAATAAAAGTTTCACTCTTCTTATGTAAAAAGCTGACATCTCATATAATGGTCATCTGTTGATTTAGAAACAAGGACAGGCTTGTACTACAGTCTGTTCATCACATAGTGTAATTCTAAAGAAAAAAGGAAAATCCATTGTTTCTTATTGGAACTGTTTCTTGAGTTTTTTTCAGGTTCTGAATTTCTTCTAAACCTACAAGGTCCACATTATTGGAACTGTTTTTTTGTTTTGTATTGTTTTGTTTGAGTTTTTTTTCAGATCCTGAATTCCTTCTTAATCTATAGACTGAAGCATAGGATTGGGAACATTACTTTGGAGGCCATTCATCCTCTGATGAGACGTTCACCTCCAGCTGGGAAAAGTTACTGAGTCCCAGCCTACTCAGCCTAAAAACACTTATTGCCTAGAAAAATCAAGCAAATATCCCAGGACCATGGGCCAAAGGAAAAGAGTTATTTATGCTTTTATGGATGGAACTATATAATGTATAATGCCAAAAAAGTCAGCTGATGCTACATAAAACATTTTTGCTTCCTTTTCTTAGGAAAATGAACTTATGTGGAAAGTTTTCTCATTTTTTTCCTCTATTCCTCTGTGTTCAAAGTTGAAGGTCCATTACATGGTCTTTTTTTTTTTTTCCCCACAGTACTGGGGTTTGAACTCAAGGCCTACACCTTGATCCACTCTGCCAGCCCTTTTTTTGTGATAGGTATTTTCAAGATAGAGTCTTCTGAACTATTTGCCTGGGCTGGCTTCAAACCATGATACACCTGATCTCTGCCTCCTGAGTAGCTAGGATTACAGGCATGAGCCACCAGCACCCTGCCCCCATTATATCTTAACTGAAAACCACATATGCCACTTTCCTTCCAGTGTTAGCCACATGAAAAGTCTTACATGCTACATTTGACTCCACAAAAGAGAATGAAAAAATGTTGTAATACTGTAGCCTCATCTTGGGAAGGTGAACAGGGTTCCATCACTGTACTCAAAGCTGTGTTTTCTTTTCCTTTTTTTACTTTTCATTTAATTTTTTATTTTGGACACAGGGTCTCATTAGGTAGCCCAGGTTGGCCATGAACTCACATGTTCCTGCCTTTACCTCCCAAGTGCTGGGATTGCAGATATGCTCCACCACGCCTGACCTGTGTTATTTCATTATCACTCTTACAATGAAATGCAAGCATACAGTTCACGGGGTTAGCTGCTGCACAATCTTTGTCCTTCCTTAGAAAGAACGAAAAACATTTAAAAATAGCCTTTGTCTAAAGCCTTCTGAGAAAGTCAGCAGTAACTTTCTTCACCAAGAGAAAAATCCCTCCTTTCAAATCCCTCCAAAAATATAGATTTATACATGTCAAAATGTGTATGTGTATAGAAACTGTGGTGGTTTATTCCCATATGAAGTCAGTCTTGGTATCTTGTCTTTATGCTTCTTTATCACATCAAAGTTTTAACTGCAAAATCAGACCTTTGTTTTTTTGTCCAATAAATTATGTCATAGAATAAGCCAGTATTTAGAAATATGGAACTTTTACTGTCTCTTTCATTTCAAATTATAAGGAATATTTGGCATGCATTGCTGCAGTCTCAACTGTGCTTATCATAAAAGTAGGCAAAACTGGAAGACATTTAAAAAAACCCTAAAATCATCCATACTCCTAGTTACTTATTCTTCTTTTTGCAACAAAAAGGAAAGAATTCACAAATACCACAACCTATATACCTGCTTCCAGTTAAACCTCATCCTTCCACTTGCAAAATAACTTCTTTATAATTAATCAAACTATAGCAAAAGATCCATATCAGCAGGCACTAGTGGCTCATACCTACAATCCTAGCTACTTGGGAGTCATAGATCAGGAAGACTGAGGTTTGAGGCCAGCCCAGGCAAATAGTTCTTGAGAACTTATTGGGATGAAAATACATATCCAAAAAAGGACTGGTGAAGTGGCTCAAATGATAGAGCACCTGCCTAGCAAGTGTGAGGCCCTGAGTTCAAACCCCAGTGTTCCCCAAAAAATCCATGTTAGTTGCTTTTTTCTTTGTGGAGAAGTCAATAGGAATTGCATTCTAACGGCTTCTCTTACGTTGAATCTGAGAGTTGGCTCCCAACTGTGGAGGTAATGTGTGGAAAGATATCCGTGTTTCAGTAGGGAAAGTGGCTGAATAAAAGAAGCAGGACTTTACCCACTCTAGAAGACAGCAGAGAAATTCTTGCCAATTCCAATATTCAGCATTTTGTTTGGAGATGAATATAAAAGCATCTGTGGTCAGGAAAATGTTCCTCCTGTGTGATAAGGTTCTTTTAAAAGTTCAGCAGATGCACTTGGCATCTCACAGGCCAGCTGGTCTCAGGGTGCCTCTCTACAACATCTTCCTACTTCTCAGGCTTACCAACCCTGCGGTGGGCTGCTCCCACAAGCCCCCTGGAGTCATAATTTTTAAATTGATGTAAGAATTGTAATTAGATCTTTTTAGACTGCTTAGCAAAAATAATTAGATGTTGAAGAGAATCTTTGGAATCTTAGCTGGACAAGTCATTTATTACTTTGTAGGTCATTAATACTGTTGCATACAATCTTACCATCAATTTGAATGACTGTTTTGAATATTCCATTAAGATTGTATCTCTACAGAAAATAAGATAATCTTCCTCATAAATTTCATGTTAAATTCTATCCTGAAGTAAGGGTAGTCATTTACTTAATATACTGGTTCTAGATTTCTTTTTTTAATAATACATTTTTAGTTACATGTGTTCTTCCCTGCTGACCTGATAGCCATTCTGCTAGATCTCATTGATCAGGATCTCTTCTCAATTGAAAGGTCCATGTAGGTTTTAACATTTCAACTTGACAAATACTGATACAAGGGGAGAGATTCATGAATGCTAAAGCAAACTTGAAGTAAATCCTCATGTCTTAATCATTAGAGAGTAAATCTAGGGAGGCCTTGGAAAGTTTATGTTGGGCATTTGGTTTCTTGGGGTTTTTTGGTTTTTTTTTTTTTTTTTAGTTTTTTTTTCTGTTACTTTGGTTTTTGCTGATCTGTATGAAGTTGAATTGATCTTTTACTCTACCGAATTACTGTCTTAGGATAAATCCTTCAGTGAAGAAATTATGAGTCATATGTAGTGACACATGCCTGTAATCCCACTATTTGGGAGGCTAAAACAGTTCCATGGCAGCCTGAACTATGTAATGAGACCCTCTTTCAAAAAAAAACAAAAAAACACCCAAGAAAGAAAAGAAGCTATATACATCAGGGACTTACAGTTTTAACTTGGGCTGGAGACATAGCTCAGCGGTAGAGTGCTTGCCTAGCATGTATGTTGCACTGCCGCAACAAAAACATTTCAGCATTTGTAAAATATGTATGTAATACGTGTTAGGAAGGAATAATTACACATATATTACATAATTACTGTTTATATTTCTCTGTATTCTCTGTTTTGGTGTAAGATAAGGATCTTGCTAAATGATTGATCATTTAAGAAATATTTGAGCTTCTTCTGTTAATATGCCCATAAGAAGCCAAAGATTGGGCCTTTGATTTGAAGAATCAATAAGATAGAACTATTCTCCATCAGGAATAGTTTTGTCCCCTAGAAGACTTTGACAGTGTGTGGAGATTTTTTTAATTATCTCAACTAGGGATGCTGCTAGTATCCATTGGACAGAAGCCAGGGATGCTGCTAAATATTACACAGTGCACAAGAAAGCCTCATACACAAAGCATTAGCTGGCTTAAATGCCATTAGTGGAGCTGGAGGTGTAGCCCAGTGTAAGAACATTTGCCTAGCATGTGCAGGGCCCTGTGTTTGATCCCTACCACTACAAAACAAACAGACAAAAAAAAGATTGAGAAGCCCTAGGATAGATAAGCCATACTAACTTGTGAAATACATAGGTAGGTGCTATCTCATCAAAAAAGATATTTTAGCTTCACATAGTTCCCCAAAGGGGGGAGATGGGCATGAGCTTACCCTAGGTAAGGCTTGAAGGGAAAACTTTGAGATCTTCTGATAGTGTGGGAAGGAAGAAATGACACATTTTTGTGGAAAGACAGCAAAATAGGAAATTTGGGAAGAAAGTTGATGCTTCTTAGCTTAGTAAATAGGATAGTGGCAACAGATAAATACTGATTCTGTCATCACCTTAAACAGAAGTAGAAAACAATGAAAAATACATATTCTTATCTACCTTGTCAGAGGGAGAACGTTAACATTTGATTCCTTTGAGACTTGATTTTGGTTTCTATGGTTTCCATTGCAGTGTGGCATTATCTTCCCCAGGTAGCATCAGAAGTATCTGAGAGAGCTGAGAGAGGTGGTAACCTTGTATTTTGGTATTGAATAATTGAATGTTGTCCTTTTATACCCATTCTTTGATAAGTCCACGAGAAATACTACCTCCAAGAAAAACTGTGGGCCCTGCCTTTGAGAAGCTTTGGTCTCATGGGCTTTTCTGCATTTGGTTATCTTGCCTCCAAAACACTGAGTCTTTTTTCAGTGTTTTTTTTTTTCCCCCGAATTGTCATTTATATTGAAACAAGTTTGAGACTGAGGTGACTCTCATGCAGGGTGAAGTTATACTTTGTCTTCCTGTTGAGCTTTATACATTTTCACAACCCAGTCAGCATCATCACAAACTTACTTTCTTCATGTCGTTTTAGGTTGTAGTTCCCCCACTCCCTGGAAAAGCATTTTTGCGTCAACTTCCTTTTAGAGGAGATGATGGAATATTTGATGACAATTTTATTGAGGAAAGGAAGCAAGGGCTGGAGCAGTTTATAAACAAGTAAGTGCTCTCTACTCCTCAAGGGTGTGGGTAAACACAATGTCTTAAGATGACTTTAAGTGACTTAAGAGTAATTTAGATGTTAAGTTGAATTATGATACTACTTTTCCTTTTGACCATTTCCTGGCTTTTTGTATCGTTTAAATAAAGTATCTGACAAGTTGAACACCATGTGATAAATATTAACACACTTGAGTGATTAAAATGAGTAGCGTTGACCTAAGTTTTATTATTTATTTTTCTTGGTTAATTTATGCAAAGTATATTTTAAATTATAGCATTTAGAAAATAGTTTGTGATTCTTTCTGATTTAAGGTATGTTCTAGTATGAACAATAAAATATACAATATATTTGCAGTCATTTTGTTTGATTGCAGATGGGGGTGTTACTGGCATGTTTTATATAAAAAGTTTGTGTATGTTTTTATTTTTATGGCAAAATGTTTTCTTTTGAAAATGTAAGAAGACTTAGGATTGCTTATCTTTTAGAAATGGTTGATAAGTTCCAAACCAATATTTCTAGCATTTAATTTTAGTTCCATTTGAGATACAGCTTTTTATGTAATTTTATTTTTTAAGAGTTGTGAGTTTGCTTGTTGCCTAGACTGGCCCTGAACTCCTGGGCTCAAGTGATCCTCCTGCTTCTGCCTCCTAGTAGCTGCAATGTGTGCTTCTGCACACAGCTCAAATATAGCTATTTTCAAAAAGCCAAAGTAAGAGAAAAGGTTATGCCAGAAAGGCCTCTACAATTATGCATTGGCCACATTGGCCTTGTGTAACGAATTAAGTCAAATCCTTGAGAATATGGTTGTGTAAGCTTCCACATTAACTTTTAACTAGTAATTTGAAAATCTGTGAGAGGTAAAGAAAAGGTACACAAAGCCCTTTTTGGCTATCTACCAGAGCAAGTAACCTTCATTTGTCTTTTTATGAGCACTCTGTCTTTTGGGAGAAGATAATGCTGTGCTCGATGTTTCTGATTCTGAAATAGAAGAAGTCTGGTTCCCAGTAGTTTTGTGTTTAACCAGTGCTGGAAAAATTTAAAAGCAGGCACATAAACACACCAAAATAAAAATAAGGGCTGGGATGTAGCTCAGTGGTACAGTGCTCACCTAGCATGCGTGAGGCCCTGGGTTCGATCCCAGCACCAAAAAAGAAAAGACAAAAAAAAAAAACCTGTCCCCAAAATAAAAATAAAATCGAATAAAAACAAAAGAAAGAAAAGCCTGGATATTTGTGTTTATTGGTATCAGGACCTCTGTTGAGCTGCTTCTGTTTCTAACTCAGATCGTGCATCTGTTTTGTTTTGAGACAGGATCTCACTATGTAGCCCAGGCTGACCTCAAACTTAAGCTCCTGCTGCCTCAGTCTCCCAAATATTGGGATTATAGGCATGTACCACTGTGTAGAGCTCAGATCCTATATCTTTAAAATGGATCCTTAGAATCCAATGATGTTTTTCACTTTTAACATTAAAGTTAATTTAAGTTTCTTATGAATGCACCAACTAATGTTTAAGAAGCTAATTGGATACATCTTCCAGAAGCAGGGCAAAATTAATCTGGTGCAAAATTGTGTTTTGCAGTACTGTTTTTTAAAATCACTCTGTGAACCAAAGGAAAGGAAGTATACTATTAGTTGACAGAGAATAGTTTTATGGGTAGTCCAGAATAATACTTGTTTTTAATAAATTGCACATACTTCCTAATCTTAAACTATGTATGTCTTGACCTCTACCACCACCAGTTTTATAAAACACTGTGCTAAATTTTTACTTTTTTATTCCCAGGGTCGCTGGTCATCCTCTGGCACAGAATGAACGTTGTCTTCACATGTTTTTACAAGATGAAATAATAGATAAAAGCTATACTCCTTCTAAAATAAGACATGCCTGAACTTTGGCAAGAAGAAGCAAAAAACATGACCATTAATGATTCATATGCACCAGTGAAGAAGTTGTAACTAACTTAGCATGCTGCACCAAGACTGGTATAACTTGCCTTCGGTATACTAACACTCATATGCTCAGTTTTGTTTTGTTTTGGCAGTTGACAAGAAGTTAATTTGCTTTAGTGAGAATCCCTCATTCCAGCCTTTCTCTATGAATAGCTTTTCCTTGCTGTTTTAATGTGGCGCGCACTGTAGCCTCACGAACCGTCCCATATAATCTGCAGTGTCCTGACTAAAGTTACTGACTTGGTCTTATTCGCACAGTTTTTGTGTCATGTTTGCTTCTTGCATCTGATTAACTAGAATATTTCTCTTTCCCTTTTTAATGTGTGATGTCACTTGATCTAATTTATGTGTAGGAGCACTACACCATTCGTTTCCAGTGCCGCACACATAAGATACACACTTGTGTGCAGAACATATCTTCCTTCTGGCCTGTAATACCCTTCTGTATAAAAACAAAATCAAATTTATATACTAAAATCATTTGTCTAAAAATTTAAGTTGTTTTCAAATAAAAATTAAAATGCATTTCTGATATGCACTGATTGTATTGTCTCCAGCTTGTCTTTTCTCCCTTCTAGCTTTACTACTTAAGTCTTCCTTCTGGCCTGTAATACCCTTCACATGGAAATTAATAGGGAAATCTTATATTCTGTAAAAAACCAAAATCAAATTATATACTAAATCATTTGTCTAAAATTTAATGTTTTCAATAAAATTAAAATGCATTTCTGATATGCACTGATTGTATTGTCTCCAGCTTGTCTTTTCTCCCTTCTAGCTTTACTACTTAAGTCACTTGTTGAGAGGGATTATTTACTAATTATATACTTCTCATTCCTGTAACTCCATTCCTCTTTAAACAGTGGTGATACCAAATATGCTGCCACCTTTTGAATGGGGGTATTTTCTTTTTAAACAATAAAAAAGCAATGCACTAAAAAAGCATTCCTTAAAGCTTATTGAGTTGTTATGAAGGACTTTGTGTACTTGAGAAATGCTTTACAATCTTAAGTCATTCTTTAAGAGGCCTTTTAAGATAAGTCAATACCATGCCTCCTATTTCTCCAAAGAATTTTTCTCCTCATCCAACTGAGTGACTTGTTTAAACTCAGCAAGGGTATAATAAGTCATCAGTTGCATGCATTCTCTTTAATTAGGTTTAGGCTAGTGGGACACTTTATCCTTCCTAAGGGAGAAGAGCTCACTGTTGTAGCCTGAATCGTACAAATGATAAGAAACCAGAAAACACATAACTACTTGCTGCCTAACTTGTATTGTAGCCAGACCTTTGCAGCTGGAATGTGGTTTCTAGTTTGAGTCTATACAACCTCTGATGTTTTGGGGACCTATTGTGACCTGGAGTTAAAATTTCAAGATAAGGAATGATTGTCTTTCCATCCCAGAGCCATCTCCTCTGGAAATGAGTCAGAGCTTTTGGTTGATTTTGTTTTTTGGTTTCGGTTTTTTTTTTTTTTTTTTTTTAGAGACAGAGTCTTGCCATTTAGCCCAGATTGACCTTAAATTTAGGATTCTTCTGCCTCCGCCCCTCCCCAGATTCTGGGATTACAGGTATGTACCACCATATCTGGCTTGAGTCAGTGCATTTGGAAGGAAACAAGCTTGGGTTTGGGCCAAACTAGGATGTTCATCAAGCAGACTGGAAATCAGAGGAAGAAGTAGAGCTGCTATAAAAGGCCAATTGTTGTTCAAATAATATTTCACAATCCCATAAAACTGGCTATTTCAATCACCCAACATGGTGGTACTTCTGTAATCCTAGGAGGATCAAGAGTTAAAGCCAGCCAGGCTCCAGTGACTCACAACTCTAATCCTAACTCCTTGGGAGGCTGAGATGGGAAGGATAGAGGTTCTTGAAACCCTCATCCCCTGAATAACCAGAGCAAAATGAACTGTAGGTATGGCTCAAGTGGTAAAGTGCCTGCTTTGCAAGAGTGCAGCCCTGAGTTCAGTGCAGGCCCAGTTCCACCAAAAGAAAAAAGAAAAGGTTTGAAACCAGTCTGGGCTACATGAGACCCTGACCCTACCTCCCCCCCCCCAAAAAAAAAGGGAAGGTATAAGGCTGAACATGTAAGTTTTATTTTAATGAATTAGTAAAGTAAAATCAAAAGCTTTCAGCTTTTTTCTGTTTTTCTTTTTGCTGTACTGGGGTTTGAACTCAGGGCCTACCTATACCTTGAGCCGTTCCACCAGCCCTTTTTTGTGATGGGTTTTTGTCAAGATAGGGTCTCACAAAACTACTTCTCTAGACTGGCTTCAAATCCTCGATCCTCCTGATCGCTGCTTCCTGAGTAGCTAGGATTACAGGTGTGAGCCACCGGCAGCTGTCAGCTTTTGCTATACAGAATAGAGTAATGGTAGCTCTGCTAAACTGGATAATTTCTGTAAAGCAGTAGTTCTCAACCCCTCTTCATGCCTTCACCATCCTGGGGATATTTGTCAATGTCTGGAGATATTTTTGGTTTTCACAACTGGGAAGTGCTACTGGAATCTTAACAGTAGAAGTCAGAGTTGCAGCCAATGCACAGGACAGCCTCCCACAACAGGAAAATGTCAGTAGTACTGAAGTTTCCACTCACAGTGGAGGTTTTTTGATTTTGATCTATACAGACAAGGGAATAATATGATTTAGGATGGCTTATACTGCTCTGCTTACTTTTAGTATCTACAATAGTTTCCTAGGGATAGGCATGTTCTGAAAAGCTCAATGTTTTTACCCAGGCAAAAAGTTGCTTATTCCAGGTGTAATGTTTTTGCCTAGTGCAAGATGGTACTTTTCAGTGTTGACTTTTAGGGATCTGAGACCATGGTCTAGTAAAACTACACTTTTAACCCTCTGAAGTAAAAATGCAAGTGCTTTTAATTCTAACCACCTACAAAAGGGTTCTAAAAGCCATTAGAGTCTCAAGAGAATTTTATTTGCCAATGAGTTAGGAAGCAATGGGTGAATAATTGTAAGGAGGTTCACACTCTGTGTCTATTCAGCAATTAACTTGTCTCAGCTTCTGCCAGTTGTAAAGAGCCAACATCAGTGGTACCTTTAATAACTTGGAGGTGTTGAGGATAAGTATAAAATTTGTAGAACAGCATGTTTGATATGTAAAAGCTTCTTAATAGTTAACTAATGGTAGCATTGTCTAATGGCAGTTAAACCCTGTTAAGTGGCTTCTTGCCCATTTGTCATGGAAGTTCCAGGATAGGTTTATCTAGTGTTTAGTTCCCCGCTTGGACATTGTCCCCCCTCAGTAGTGGTTATGACCTGGAGGAAGGGAAAAGAGGCTAGTGAGGAGCTTCTCCTTTTTTATTACATCTGTGGTTTTTCAGGTTAGTCATTTTGATATATGGACCACTGGAGGAAAAGCCCTTCCACTTTGTAGGAGTAGGAGTGAATAGGCCCAATGAAAGGAGGAGGCTGCTTGCACCTGAGCCATTACAGACAAAATGTATTGGCACCTTGATGGACAGATAGCTTATATACTCAGTGGGTACTGGCAGTGATTAGTACAGTATAGAAATGTTTGGACCACAAAAGAAGTTTGAAACTGTTTTAGGGGGATAGAGTGTCTCAGCTTTCAGGATTTCTGCTGTGATCTCTTGTAACAACTCTTGTGAAGTAGGTGGTATTTTCTTTTACAGATGAAAAAATAGGCTTTAACAGCTTGAGAAATGTGTTCAGTTACACAGGATGGGGATGCATTGGATTTAGATATGAGAATGTCTGACTCAGAGGTCGTGCATTGGCATACTTCCTCCCATGAGCAGGGCCTGTGGCCTTCAGTGCAGTGTTTGAACGAATGAAAAGGTGAGTTTTCAGTAGCATTTCCTGTAGCAAGACTGAACACGAGTAAGTTTGGATAGGTTTTGTTTTGCTTTTAAGTTTTGATGCAAGTAGGTCCTTAGACATGAAGAGTTTACATACTAGAAATAAAATCTTATTTTCCTAAGCATAGTACAATTACCCTCTAAGACTGAATCAAGGACTTTGGGGGTTTTTTGTTTAATTTAAGCTTCCTAGGTAATTGAGCCAGGTTTGGGCACTGAACCTGGATACCATTTGATTTCCTAGAACTCCTAGAATATAAGTTCAGATTTGAACTTATATTAACTTATGTTTGACTACGTTAGTCTTTACAGAAAAAAAAAATCAGGAAATTGAGAAAAATGTTTATAAAATCTTGAGAAATTACTTTTGTTAATCTTGACTTATAGTAAGTGGACTTTCCTTTATTCTAGCCTTGCAAGGAAAATAAGACCTTGATTTGGTGACTAGGAAATCTCAGAAGCAGGAAGTTTTGAGATGTTCTTTGCTATCAGAGTGTCATGAACAGAAATGACCCAGTAAGCTCAGCCAACACCACTACTAAACACTTTAGATGTGCAAAGTGCTAACAGGCAAGGGATATTAAATACCGGCCCTTTCCTTAGTCTTGTTGGCACACTGCAATGAAAGAGACTCACTAATAGTATAACCAGAGTAGAATGGCAATTGTGAAAACAAGAAAGAACAGGGGAGTTTGGATGGGGGGAAGGGAATGGCTATTCAAAGTCAAGTAAACCACTCTGTTTTCAGCTCCTACGTGTAAAGAGCTTAAAAAGCTTAATAGTTGGCATCCTTGTCCTTAACAGCAAGAAAAAGGTGAACTGGGTATGTGTGGTGGTGGGGGGTGGGGAGGGTGGGAGAGGGATGTAGGCTGGTGGCGCACGCCTGTAATCCTAGCTACTCAGGAGGCAGAGATCAGGAGGATCACGGTTCAAAGCCAGCCTGGGCAAATAGTTCTCAAGACCCTGTCTTGAAAAGAAACATCACAAAAGGGGGCTGGTGGAGTGGCTCAAGGTATAGGCTAATTTCAAACCCCAGCATCGCAAAAAAAAGTAAACTGGGCAAACAAAATCAATGACTTCTTGCACCTGTCAAAATAGAGTCTGCAGGGTAAACCACCACCCCAAAATTTGGAGGAATAAGCTCATCTAGATAGAGACACCATCTTACTGGGAGGAGAAGTGACTGCAGCTATAACCTGGTTAGGAATGCGTCCAGGGTAATGCTGATGATTGCTGGAGGCTGAGTGTGGGCTAACACAAAAGTAAGAAATTCCTGGGGATTTCTGCCTTAGAGAGGTCCTTACATGTTTGTGGATTTTACCTCCAGAGACCCCATCAGATTGTCACAGTAAAGATCTAGAACAATCTTCTTGTGACTCTGACAAGGGGATAGGATGAATAATCATTGTGAAATAGTGGCCAGAACCTTATTTGTTACAAAGGCCTACTTTCCAAGGTAAAAGAATGCCAGAGCCTTATCCCAGGTGGGACAGCATTCTCCTCCCTCCAGTCTTCCTGTATTCCCTAAGGAAAAGAACAGTCAACAGGCCCAGGACTTTAAGGAAATAGATCGGAAATGCTGCAGCCAAGGAAGGAC